ATGCGACTTAAGTCCTCTGGTGCCTATTTCTATGAATTTTTCACAACTCTATATTAAAAAATTTAAGAAGGAAGCTGAAAAACAATTCAATCATGTGTCAGGGTACAGCAAACCACTTGTCTACTGTATAACAAACTCTTTGCAGACTTGATTCTGTTATCTTCTTTCTTAGGAGAGAAAATATCTTTCTAACACTTCAGTACTGCACGGGTATTTATTTACCTGACAGCTGCAGTTTAAATGCTTTTTAGTGAAAACCAGCATACACTAAATAGAGGAACTTTCTGATTTAGGTGTTAGAAAAAAATTGCTTAGAGAAATAAATGCAATATTTATTTTTTATAATGTTATTAAGAGAGGCTATTGCCCTTTATAAATACTATGCAAAGTATGCACTCATACAGAGATGCTAGTTTTGTATTTTATATGTATAGATCTAAACAGCTGGAACAGCACCAACAAATTGATATCCAATTTTACATGTGATTTGTTATAATCTTCCAAAATAACTCTTGCGTTTATAATAATGGACAAATCTCAGACACAAATATTCAACTTAAGCAGCACAAAGTATGTGCAGAAGCTACAAAATTTCTAAGCCATTTAGGAACTCAAAACTCATTTTTACCTCTTGTCAGTACTAATGATCAGTCAGTCTGTGATCAAAGGTCAGCTCCTGGATCTGTTACGCATGGAAAAAAATATTCAACAGACTAACTCAACTGAAGCCAGGGAAAATACTCGTGGTCTAATCATCGAGCATCAGACTACATGACGCTAGTCTGCCCTCACAAAGGGATGACTTCTGTCATCCGAAACTCAAATTTACTCCAAAAAGGAAAACTCTCATATAAAGAAAAAATGTACAACATTAATAATGCCAACATTATTTCTTCCAGAACACTGCAGCATGCAAGTACAGCTACAAATATTTAAACGTGAAAAGCAGAAATTTAGGAGCTGCAACAGAAATAACAATCATACTAAAGACTAATAACACCACTGAGAAATATACTCCAAATACTGATATAGCAGATTACGTATGTGCGCCAGCCTGTGTACATACTGGAAGACACTGTCTGACTTGATCATCAAGTGAGCTGTATACATCATTTAGGATAAAAAGGCACAAAATGTGTAAAATAAATTTGTTAAATAAGTGTTTCATATTCACATTTAAAAAGAGGATGTTAATCTCCCTATGTGTTCTCTTCATATACCTGGTTGCTTTTGTAAGCTTGCATTTCATTTTCTCAATGAAACTCATTAATGCTTTTGATTTCTGGGCTATAAGTGAAGCATCTTTCCCCCTCATTACTTCACACAAAATCTTTTTCAGTTTTTTCATTATCACTAATAAATAGACACAAGTTGATTGTACCTTATAGAAAGGAATTCATAAATATTGATCAATTCCCTATTGAATCATCTGCTGGATAGGGCAAAAGGTGGTGTTTGCTTTTGGCAGTGCATGCCTGCAGCCCTAAGAGAGGGCAGTGTCCTTGTGAAGAAGGTTTTTACCATTGCTATGCACAGTGTGCCTGTTCAAAAAGCAGCTGGTTTATCTCAAGATTGAAACTCTTCAATGCTACATGCAGGATTTTCATACAAGCAAATGAATGTACCCTCATGATCCAGAATTTCTATCATAAGGGAGAACCAGATACCAGAAACTTGGGATACAGTTTTCTGTTTTACCTTTAGAGATGTAAGGAATAGTTTTCTTCTTTTTTTTGTGGGTGCATTCTCTATGACAAAGTCAGTCCAGTACACCAATGTTTCAGGGAGGAATTCACATTTTGCTGTTTGTGTTTGGTTCTAGATATCGGTAGAAAAGTTTCATTATGGCTCTCCCTAATGCTATTAAGTGGGGGAGGCTGCTCAAAGGATGGACCGTCCTGCCACACTTTACAACACAACCGCAGTTCCTCTACCTAATTCTGGTCCCATTAACCCAGGTCCTGTCAGGTGCCTTGGAACACTGACCACACAGGTATTCTCATTTTGCTGTTTATCCTGTGTTAGCTCAATGCAGATGCACACACCATTTTTCTGAGGGTTATTCCAATCCTTTCACTTCTCAACCAGCCCATGTGAGATCAGTTTCACCATTCTTCACCCTCTCTCATCACACATAATGATGTTGCTGCCCATTATTAAGTCACAATCGACACTACCTAAAAGAATATTGATTTCCATTTGGGATTTCCAGGGTTTGGTGTTTTTTGTTTCTTTTTTTTGTTTGTTTGTGGTTTTTTTTTATGTGGAAGACTGGGATAAAACAGGCCAGAAGAACTTGTGAAGACTGTTTAAGTAAGCCCTTTGTACCAGTGTGTTTTCACAGGACATGAAGAGTTATTTTGTCAGAAAAATCTTTGTGCATTGTTTAAATCAGAGAGAGATTTTCCCTATATACTACTTCAGGCCCCCGCAGATGTGTGAAATGCAGGCTCTGGGTAGAAAAGGTGGCTGTGGCAGGGGAGGCAGGGGTGGCTTCAGCATTGCTACCTCTCTCCTAAGGCACTGCTTAACAAATATGCAAAGCATGGTACATAAACCATCACTTTTTGGGAGTGTAAGACTGAAAAGATGCAAGTGGCCTATACCCATTCATTTGAAAGATACTGAGATGTCCTCTCCCCGTTAAAGGGCTGTTACGTTCCCCAAAATCAGGGGCAAACGTACAGCCGGTCATGGGCAAAATCATCTGTGGCAGGATTTCCTGCCCGACTTTGGGAAGCCACACTGTGGCTAACTGGAAACACCCTTGTTATCTTTGCTATCTCAAGCACCCGCTTCAGATGCCAAAACGAGCCTGAAACAGGCCCTCAGATGCAAACAGTCTCAAGTGCAAAATCCAAACACTCTGGTTAGATTTCTTGTCAGATTCTTGGTTCACACTCAGATAGTGAAAGAGGTAGTGAAGCTTCGAGAAAACAAGATTCTCCCTTGGGTTAGCCTGGCTAAAACTTTATTTCATAGGAGTTTTCACAAAATAAATATAAAACTCTTTATTATTTCAGGGACATAAAAATTTCAGTTATTCCCAGCTAAGGAATATGATCATGACAGAATAACAAGTGTTTTCATACTATTTTATGAAACTATTTATTCTTCAGAATTGTACTTCTGAGGTATATTTTCTTTTTCCTATATGAGATTTAGCCAAAATGGTTATTCTGAACACCACCATGAAGCTATGCTGAAAATGTATCAGAGGGCTACAGCACCATAAGTAGACATTTACATTTTTAACTCTACTTCCAGTTCATTATTCTGCTAGCTTTTTTTCTACTTTATGCTTAAAACATGTGCTGCATTCATATCAGGTTAAATTAGCCTGGGTTGATGGTTGACCCTGGCTGTTGTAATGGCACCACATTTCTTAATCCGACTTTGGAGGTATGACTTAAAATCTGCAGAAAATATTCATGTCCTTACAGTTGTAAGGAGAGAGAAGAAAACAAGAAATCCCAAAAGCAGAAGAATGCCTGGCAAGTGAAAGTTGCTGTTTTTCTTAAGAGTGGACACCCCTTGAGATTTTTGTTCTGTACAAAAGAGAAATATTAACTAGAGATGAGGATATACTTAAGCGAACAAAATACTGTGCGGTGGTTATATGAGAATTCACAGAGCATTACCTATGCTGTCTCACTTTGACTTATCTGCAGCGAGGCAAAATGGTTTACTGCTCTCTCACCTGCATCACACCTTCATCACACTGCCCATAAGTGATTCGGAGAAAACTACAGCACAAACAATGCTATGGCAGCTTTAACTGCTAGCCCAGCTCTCAAAAAGTGCTGATCATACCTCACAAGCGCGCACTTCACACAATTTTAACTCCTGGGGACTAAAAGTATTTCAGCTGTAAATTAAGCAGTGCCTTTTAAGAAGTAACTTTGCATTTTTGTTAGTTTATTTTAATTCACATTCTGCAGCAGAAATAGGCGTTTCAGCTCCCCTTTTTACACTCTGTCTCACTGAAATCAACCACAAAAATTGCACAGTCCCTCTGCACATGCAGGCAGAAGTCATTTCTAGCCACAGGCTGTCCTGGATTTTCTCTGACTCTGTGCTAAGCACGGAAGGTTGCTGTACGTGTACTCCTCTTTTTCCTAAGCAGATGGATGGGAACAGGCAAGGCCTCAGGTCCTTACACCCATTAATTTGCAAGGTACATTTGATTCAGTAAAATCATCTCTGTTTAGTGATGATTTAAGGAGAAGTGAGGATCCATCCCCAGCCGAGACAAGGCTGAAGAGGCCTTTTGCTATTAAAGGCTACACCAAGATACTGTATCTTTTTCTGAATTGTCTCCAAAATGAACCCCAACTCTCACCTTAGGGCTGCAACTACACACATTATGTCTTTGAACAAGTTAACCCTTCAGGATGACAAGTCATTGACTGCTGCTTTGGAAAATTTAGTCACGGCATAGATAGGGATAAAATAAATATCCACTTACTAAAAAACAAAACCAAGCACAACACAACCAAAGCCACACAAGGGACATGCAGTTAATTGAACAAATTACACTGAAGACATAGTTAAATAAAAACACTGCTATTGTCCAATCTTCTCTTTGTCCCTCTCCTCCTGCAGGTCTGACCAAGTTGTAAATGGATAAATAAAAGAAGCCACCTCCCACACGAACCCATACAAGTTGCAGGTAAAATTGGTGGTGGTGGTGGTCAGTGAAAAATCAGTTTCTAACTGAAAGTTATCCTCAAACAGTGGAGCTCAAACTGCATTTCTGCTTATGTGGAACTGCCCTGGGCTCACAAAGACCCCAAGGCTTGGCTACAGAGCATGAGGGGAAAGCACCATGGTCACTTCTGAGAATTAAAGGCTCCAGTTCTTTAAGGCAGCCTTGACTTCCAGAGGGTCTACACCAAAGAGCACACTTCAAATGCAGAAGGACAATTCTGAACCCTATCGCTGATGTTCAAGTTTAGTTTAACCACATGAGGGAATTGCTCCTCTAAAAGCAAACTTACCAGTGAGGTTGCAGTTCTGTACATGGACCTTTCCTTCAATTTGCTCTCCTTTATTTATTTCTTTATTGCTCGATTTTCTTATTTAAAAATGCTGAGAGGTTAGAAAAGAGTCAGATCAAGCCAATGTGTCAGGCTAATGTTTAACCATAAATTAACACCTCACAGATAAAAAGGGAGCATACTACAGATTTCACAGCTGAATCTGCTGCCCCAGCCTGACAGAAGCATCAGTAGCACTAGGGTCTAAGTGCATTCAGCACCTTCCTAACTCATTCCTAGCTACGTTTTTCTTCCTCCTTAGGAGTGAACTGGGAAAAAAAAAAATTAGTCTCCTAGCTGAATAGTCTTGCTGCTTATGATTTGTCATTGATGAGCTACAGATAAGCTTCAACTTTGCTGCCAAGTGAGTTCATCTGTTCAGAACAACAGCTGCAGAAAACCAGACTCCTCAACATCAGAGAATTGTTCAACTGCTGCTATGTCAAACTTTGTAGCTCCAGAAGTCAAAAAATTTGTGGCTTGGGACTATGTTGTTTTTGCAGGGCTGTTTTTAGTCTGTGCTAGCATTGGAGTCTTTTTTGCAGTTAAAGAGAGAAAAAAGAAAACTTCAAAGGAATTTTTGGTAGGTGGTAGGCAGATGACATGTGGACCAATAGCCTTCTCTCTCACATCAAGCTTCATGTCAGCAGTGACTGTTCTGGGGACACCCTCTGAAGTCTATCGCTATGGGGCATCCTTTGTGCTGTTCTTTCTTTCATATGCACTTGTCATCATTTTTACTGCAGAACTCTTTCTACCTGTATTTTACAGATCTGGCATTACAAGCACTTATGAGGTAAGTAAAAATAAATTAAAAAGGCACTATTCTAATATAAAAGTCAGTGTCATGCATATAAATATTCATAGAGAAAAAGCTCTGACAGAAGATTTTTTGCAGTGTTTTACAGAACAAGTATATCAGTGCACTAATTCTTTTTCAAACCAGGTGGCATTACTCAAACTGGTTATTCATACTGCAATAAGTTGAAAGCACAAATTAAGGGTCAGAGCTCCTGTCATGCATATACAGCAAAGACAGGAGACAGGATTACACACCAGCAGCAAAGGAAGTTATAGCTGAAAAATATTTTAAGTGTATCCAACTGCTTCTGGTCTTATAAGCAACTATTCTGCTTTATATATATATATATATATATATACATACACACACACACACCTGCTTTTGCAGAGTAGGTATTAAAGACAGACATTAAGAACAAAATTCAATAGGATCCAACTCAAACTTGGTCTAGAGCTGCAATTTGGTCCAATTTATTAGCAAAGTGTACTATTTGAGATCTAAAAAAAATAGTCAAGTAGATATTTGATAACCATTGTGATGCAAGGAAGGAATAAAGAGGAAGATGGCTGCAGGTCTCTCAAAATCAAACAAAACCAAACCAAACCAGCTCAGGGCTGGGGAATGAATTCAGGTATTCTCTAGGAAATGAAATTAAATGAACAACCTCTGAATTTTCTAGAGGTTTTGCTTGGCATTCCTCCTGGAACACCTTATTCTCTTCATATGACAGTTCAGTAGTTGAGAAAAATCAAAATACACAGCCAACCTTGTGATGTTACTGCTAAGAGCACAGTGTGCAGCCCTAACCACTGGGAGTAGCCTTTTAGTCACTTTAATCAACAGGCTCAAATTTGGCCTCTCCTGTTGTTGAGCAGTTTGAACCAAGCAAGAATTGGATGAAGAAAGCTGAGTGAGTTCATGAGGAGTAACAGGAAGACTTCTCATGTTCTCTAAGCCCAAACCCTAGGAGCAGCTTTGGTCAAACAGCTCTGCTTAGGTATTTGGATGCAAGTCAGTTCCAGGTTGGAAAAAAGTAAAATTGACCATCTGCTGCCACTGCCACTGCCACCAAATTTTTTGGCTGGTTTTGGTGCAAGATCAGAGAATGAATTACTCTTCTCATTTGAGCCACCAAAGCTGTCATTGCCCCCACAGTGTGCCCTCAAAATGACTCTGCTGGCTTGAGGAATTATTTTTAGAAACAAGTTACATAAATTAGCTATTTATCTGTATGGCAGACTGTGGGGCTTATTATGCAAGAAAAATGAGAAAGATGAAAATGAGCAAAATTAATAGAAAAAAAAAGCTGCTTTGGAGAACTATACCTAGAGGCTTGTAAAAGAGAGAAGGCTTGTACAGCCTGTGCCTGGAGTCTGCTGGGAGCGCACGGGACTACGGCCCAAGGAGAGACCCAGCCCACCCATGGTTAGAAGGGATGCTGCCACAGATGTAATTTTTTTTGGTCAGCTCTACCGAGAGGCTCCAAGTGGTGACTCAGGTTTAAAAGCTGGGCTTTTGGGGCTAGAGAGCTACTCATCTCTATAGTTATGTGGTAACTAGAGACACTTCCCTACATGTAGCTGTATGTCCTTAAGAACTCCACTTGCTGCTCTATGTTGATGATGTGCAGATTTGGGTTTAGACCGAGACAGGGCAAGAAAGAAAGCTTTAGCTCAATCACTGTGGAACGCTCTTCTACGTTGCCTCTTCTCCATCTGTTCCACCACCACTTTGGTCATTACAGAAGTCAAACCACACTATTTCTCCTAGAGATGACCTCAAGTTTCCACTTCATACAGCTGGAATGTACTTTCATTTGAAGTTCAAATTTCTCTTCCCTTCAGTTATTCCCAATACAAAGAATACTGAATATTGCAACCCAACATATAACTTCAAGTACATGTTACTCATGAGAAGAGTTCTCACATATAATTATCACTATGTGTAATAATAGTCATGCTCTCCTGCTCATTACTTACAGCAGCAGTGCCAGCTGCCAGTAATTTTACTTGCATAGCAAAAAGGTTAATAGCTGTGTCACAGGTGCTGCATGTGCAATTTACTGAAATTCCTCTTTTTCCCTAGTATTTGGAGTTAAGATTTAACAAGATTGTCCGTCTTGCTGCAACACTGATCTACATCCTGCAGACGGTGAGAAGCCGTTGACTCTGTTTATGCCAATTTCACCCAACGTTTCTTTTGACAGGCTAATCTCAGACTGCACATTTTCTATAATGAGATGTTTTAATGAGTACTCTTTTGCCCTATATTTTTTTACTTGGACTGTGAATGTTAAAAAGAATGAATGGCTGCTTTCCTAACTTTCTAGCTTTCTTAACTTTTCATTGCTTAGGATTAAAAATGCCATTTTTGTTGTCTTTGAAACTTGCATGTTTTGCTGAACTCTCACATCTCGTCAAATTCTTGATCTCATGATGTTCCCTTGTCTCTCTTCCCAAGTGAGTGGATTCTGTCTTTCTTGAAAAGCTAAACAAGCTGTACTGGGTAGATTTAGTTAACCAATGACCATTTCCGATAGCGGGGTGAGTGTATCCCATTTGAAAGCTGTTGCATGTGGCATCTCCTGGGGGGATGCCCAGGTAGGACCAACCCAGTCCCAGGAGGTACCATCTCAAAAAGTCACATAGTTATGTATTTGATGGAAAGATGAATTTTATGGGATGTTTGAAAACATTTCTTTCTACATTAATTCCATTTCAGCATTCCAAAATCCTTAGCAACAGATTTGAATGCTTTCTTATATTCAGGCTTTGTTTCTCCCTCAGTTCTGCCCGAACATACACGTGACAGCATTGAGTCAGCTACTTTGAAAGGGTTTGAATAGAAAAATGGATGTTTAAATTCCAAGATCAATGCACCTTATTCCAAGATCAGTGCACCTTATTTCAGTATAACTGTTTGTGTTTTCCCAAGAGCTCCTTTCTGCTTGACTAAGGTAGTTTTGTCATCTAGTCATCTTTGCAACTGGTGAAATAAGTAATACCAAAGCAAATAATGGTCCTTTGATCAGAAAGGAATTAAACCAATGATTTTGTTTTGTAAAGGTTGAAATCCAGATACAGTTAAATGAACAGATATAAAGAAACCCCCAGATCTCATATTTTGCTCTTCTAAATAGAAAATTATCTCTGAGCATTCACACACACATTTTTTTCATTAAGGTTGTTGGTTTTTTTTTTCATCTTTCTCCTCCAGATCCTTTACACAGGAATAGTGGTTTATGCTCCATCACTGGCACTCAACCAAGGTGAGTTCCCATGCTGCACTACACAGCTACCCCAACCAATCACACAAGGCAAACAGAATAAATGAAGCGAGGAAAACAAACAAAAAAAAACCACAAGACTTCTGTAAGAAGGTTTTTGCCTGCTCCTCAGAGCTCTGCATTTCCCTTGCCTCACATCTCCCTCACACCAGTACCTTAGCAGGAGCCTCACATTTGCTGCTCTGCTCTGCTTTGCACTCAGTAACCACCTGAAGAAGTTAGCAATGAACAATTTCTCAACATCCTTACAAAGTTCACAGTACAAGCTGATGATCCAAGACCGTACTCTGTACTTTGATTCCCCTCTTCCCTGTCTCCCGTGTTCAGGTTCCCATGGGCATTAGGGCATTACTCCATTCCCTCTAGCTGGAGCCAAATACCATGCTGCTGTCTGTCTGTACACTTCAATTAACCCTTGCAAACTGGACATACAGCATCCATCATAACAGATGGGAGTAGTGATTTTACTGCCATAGGGCAAAAAGAATCGTGATGGCCTAACTCCTGATACCACCAAAATCGAGGCTCTCCTCATTGTTTGTCGTCTGAGTTGTGATCAGTTTGTCTGACCCCACCTTCACACAGCACAGAGCTTCCTTCCTCTGGAGCTCAAATGAATTTTATGTGACAATTTGCGTTTGTTGTTAGGCCACACTAACTCTGCTAATAAGAGAACCTTTACAAATAGATTTGCCCTCATAAACTATTCCCAGTGGGAGACTTCAGTATAGGCCAAACCAAAATTTCAGTATCTTTTGTAAAGTAACTTTATGAACTAAAATGAACAGGAAAACTGATTTTAATGCAGTATATTCTAGCATTAAACTGTTTCGGCTTGCAGGGAATGGAATTTAGTTTGGGTTGGGATTTATTGTTAGGGTTACTTGGAAATACCTGAAGAACCTGATTACTTAAGAGAAAATTCTGGACTA